TATCAAACATACTGTTGGTGTGAACGTGCTTTGTAGTCACTATGAGAAAAACCTATACACTATATTGGAGTGGAATTATCCGAAACTAGTATAATCCAATAACACACGTTGATCAAAGAGTAAATTGAACTGGACCTACCTTGAACTTAGACTTCAAGATTAAACAATTCTCAGAATACTAAGTTTATTTATTATACCTGCTATTGTGCAGCTATATAATGTGAAGAACTAAACAGTGGCCAATGACACATTTTCTTCACTTCACCTATTCAGTGTATAGATTTTTCTCATAGTGACTATAAATCACATTCACATCAACCGTATATTTGAACTAGGTTAAACCCTGACTAAATGTTTCTACAAGTTTTTTCTTCAATTTTCTAAATACTGGTTTATGCTGATACATAATTTATAGTTTTTCAAGAGCTTCTGGAGTATAATGAAGAGATTATTCTATTTTTTCTATAGTATTTAACTAACTATTATTTAAGCATACATATAATCTTTTTATTAATTCTTTACTTTTGTATAAGAACTAAAATGCTTAATTATGTAGCAGTCGGTAAACAGTAAAGACTTTTGGGAGAAAATTACACTTTGCGATAAGCTATCTACTTAGTATAACATAATGTCCGTTTGTACAAAGATATATTTTTAACATGTTCTTATTTATACTTTAGATGTTAAATGGGAATTATGGAATAGCGACTTTTTATTTGATTGGTTTGAATACGTCTGAGCATCCAGTGAGCGCATGACGTCATATGTCTGCAATGCATACTCGAGATCAAGCTGATGACCGGTGCAAACCGCTTTGCTGGGAAGCCTGCCAGCTAGTGCGTATCGAGTTGGTCATATTTTTGGTACAAAAATTTAAAATTAAGACTCTTTAGTGACTACATTAAAAGTCTATCGTATCAAAAATGCAACATGTTAATATTTTACATATTATTCTATTTACTATACAGTTTCGAGTGTCATTACAGATTCGTTCACCTCCTATATCATAGTTTTTAAAAGTTTAATAAAATGACGACTGATAGGAATGAGAAATAAATACCATATCTTAACGTGTGTATGCAGATCATAACTAAAGTAATAATTCAAATAAAACTCCAATATACGGTAAGATATTTAAAAATACACCCTAGTAACTATCGGCACACTAATCTCCATGTTTTCAAGATCGACATTGCCTGTGAAAGGCACATATTGTTAAAAGTAATAAACAATTAAAAACCTTCAAAATATCGTAAGAAAATACAACAGGAACAGTCTCTATTCTAGATACTAAGGTAGAAAGATGTACTCTTGTTCGAAAATATAACTATAATAAGAAATACAGGCCTTTGTTTTCTGTTGTGAGATAAAATTATTAAAACAACATACAAACACAACATACTACAAAACTGTATAATGTGCTGTATTGACTTTGATTTTATATCAAAATCTACATCACGTTTCACCTCCCTTTTCTTCTACTTTCCAGCAAAGCATACACGCTGAACAAAGCAGACCGACTATCATTAGTTAGACAGTGTCCATGGATCCGACAGGAAGTGTTTAAACTAGTGTTTACCTGACCACTTGACCCCTTGGTCCTTCAGTTCAGGCAGAGCCCATGGATCTAATTCCGGATCACATTCAAATATATGCTCTGCTGTCTGCTGGCCTAGCTGACTGCCTTTTTCATTGGCTTGGGCCGGCAGCACGTCCCCAATATTTAGTTTGACCTGGCGTTGGAACGGTAAAATGTTAAATTCACAATTTGATCAGCCCCCCAGTGCCCCCGTAGTAACATCATGACTCGGTAAGAAAGAAAAATAACATTCTACCTACCTGATTCATGACTTCTGTCTTTTCAACATGCCTTTCTCCTAATGTTTCTTGTGTAGCGGTCATATTATTATTAGTCTCAAATCCTACCATTCAGCTTACCGGCATACCGGCGAGTGCGAGATACGTGTATTTATAATAGGAATGATGCAAGAAAACGTCACAGTTTGATCACGTGACTTATTTCATTAAATAATCCTTTCGTAAATAACGTTTTATTTCATAATAAGCAAGTTCCTAAATATATTTATGTAAGAAGCAGCTATACAGGCGTATTGAAAAGTTTTGTATCTCACAACTAACTTGTTTTTTACCTTCCATAAACAATTCGTAGAAAAAAAAAATCTGTTTTAGCGGAAGACCACATTCATTTATACGTTAACGACTCACAGGAGGCTTGACACGACACACCGTTTACAAAGCTTCTGTGATTGGTTCCCTTACATAACGTCTTGTTTCACGTGACAAACTCGTGTACATGATGATACGATTCAGTGAAGGCTCCAAATGGCTACAGGAACTTAATGCGCATCAAAACGGCAAACAACTTTCAACATTAGAAGGGATTCCCAAGTTTCAAAATATGTTTTTAGGGAGCACAGTCTTAGAAGAGTCCGATTGACATATCTTCCTGGTTAAAATTCAAAACACACGAGGAACGAATCAACAAAACTCGAGGTATTATCTGTGCTAGAATATTTTGATTGAAAATGTTCCTTGTAGTATATTTCTAAGAAGTTTTGGAATGGAAATTCCACTGGAAATGAAAGGCACACTTTTGAGTCACAAGGTTGTTAAATTTCAACTGACATTCAGCTAGAATTTCTAAGTATTGTTTATAGACGGTGACATTTTCATCACTTGGATCTTTTTGTTACATAACCCATTTAAACAGTTATGCATGTACAACACAAAGAAATATATCACAAACATTTCCACTTTCAAGTTTTTGAATTGAGAAAATAGACATAAACTGTACGCACGCATCTCAATGATGTGAACTTTTAAGGTGACTAATATGGGACGAGTGCTAACTCATATTCTTGCATTATCTCCATAATTTTGAGTTCTTCAAAAATGTCAGAATTTCGTTTTCTCCAACAAAAAAGCATTAGCTTCGTTTTGTTTTCTGAAACTGTTTGTCCACGAGCTTTTGGCCAATGTGACAGACCGAGTGTTAAGTTATGGAAACGCATACAGGTGTAAAGAAATTGATAAATAATAAGGAAAACAACAAGACAGGCAGACAAATTACCAAAAAGAATGGTAAAAACATCTATTAAAATTGAAACTAGTTAGAATGATTGATAAATAGAAAAACTGATAAAATACTAACGAGTTGCTAGATACTGAAATTGGCAAACAACTGATGAAAAAGATGCGCTAACATACGAGGATAGGGCAATGACATTCGCAATTTTCTGTTTAAGGAATATCTAGTAATGGTCTGTAGTTCGCAAAATCATAAACGACGACATATAAGAATACAATCAAAAGTGAAACAAGTATATAGTGACACTACATAGTTATCCAATAGGAATTAAAACAAGTCCATAAAGTAACGACACATAATTATCCAATCGCAACTGAAACAAATACAAAGTTACGACACATAATTATCCCATCGAAAATGAAACAAATATATAAAGCGACGACAGATAGTTATCCAATCAGAACTGAATCAAGTATATGGTAGCAACACATAGTTATCCCATCAAAAGTAAATGTATTGTAAAGTGACAATACATAGTTATCCAATCAAAACCGAATAAAGTCTATAAAGTAACAACACATAGTTATACATCAAAACTAGGTTTGTTATCCAATTAATACTGAAAAAAACAAAAAAAAACACATAAAGCGACGATGAATAGTTATCTAATCAAAACTGAATCAAGTATATAGTAACAGCACATGGTTAATCAATCAAAATTGAAAGAAATATAAAGTGACGATACATTGTTATCCAATCAAAACCGAAACAAGTATAGTTTGTTTG